ATTCCTACTGCCATGATAGCTGATTAGTACTGTGTACCGACGTTGTTCTGTCAAAATTAAAAAAAACAACTCCTCAAGGAGGAGGTACATTATGTGTTTATTTTATGATCCTCAAGTAGGAGGTAGAACTGCGTTTATTTTAGAGGAGAGGAACGCTACTTAGACGACGAGGACTAGTCCGACTCCATCGGCGAGGGTGGCGCCGACGAGCGGAGAAGAAACAGAGAGGGGAGAGAAAGACCTGACATGTGGGCCCCACCTATTGGGTCCACTTCAATGCATGTCACGTCAGCATAAGTAGTGGGCTAAGTTCCGTTTGGACGTAGGTGAGACCCGGAACAAAATTTAGGGACACAAAAATAGCTTTTTGATAATACACGAACCTAGATGACACCCCACGCTAAGTGTAGGAACTGGCCATGAATTTTCCTCTATGATTAACATTGCTACTTGTATGATAATTAATGTCATGAACGTCCATCCGTCTTACTAGTACTCCGTACATGATGACAGACGACGACAGGAGCTGTACTACTATGGTATGGGCGGTGAAGTCACAACCAATCATGTATTTCATAGCAGAGCTGGCTGCTGGCCATCCATCGCATCTCCCTATTCCGACGACCGCCAGGCTCAGGGAGTCAGTCACGGGTCTCCCTCCTAACTAATTTTTCGTTCAATTTTCTATTTTTATACCTTTTAGTTGCTCATCTTTTATGTTTCTACACATATAAGTCGAGTTTTAAATTAAAACTTTGCAGGGCTAAAGAAATCTTAGCAAATTGTGTTAGAATAGGTGTCGTAAATTGTGATAAAAATCTTCAAAAAAATGCTAATAACAATAAAGTTTGTAGGCCTAATTGGGCTTGGTGATGGCTCGGGCCAAACCAACCTAGACATGGAAAAGTCCAGATCGGTTTTAACTGTGCGGGATCTACAAGTTGATTGGGTTTGAACCGGCCCATGTATACCAGTTTACAAAATAATTTCTAAATATATACAAAGCCAATGTAACCACTTACTGTAGTATAGAGTTCATATATGATTACAATAATTGTTGGGCATTGATAACAAAATTTGTATTTTAAAATACATGCACATCTTAATATCGCGACAGAGGGAGTAGAAGATATTATATATATACTAATAAGCTATTATTTCAGGTTTTAGCTCTCCATCGTGCATGTTGTATATACGCAGGGTATGTAAAGTGGTAAATGGTGGTAGCATATATAAGGTCATCATCAGATCAACAACGTAAGGTAACAGTTGTTTAGACGAGATTAATGCAACAATGAAAAAGACAGGTCCAGTAGGCATGCAACGCCGGATCATGCTCCCTGCTTGCTTGTCAACGCTCGTCAGTCTCTTCGCTAGCTACATGGAGTAGATGCAGACAGAGAGCAGCAACAGCCGCAGAGGGCAGTGGAAGGACAAAGTGGTAATGGCGCACATGGACGCTGTCGTAAGAATGTAGAGTAGGATGGTAGGCAAGACGTCTCCACCGTGTGAGTTATTTGGTGAGTCTGTCATTCCTACTGTCATGATATCTAGTACTGTGTACCACGTTGTTCTGATATGTGTTTATTTTAATTCCCAAGGAGGAGATCGGTATGCCTTTACGTTAGAGGAGAGAGAGCGAGTACTATGATTAACATTTTATTGGTACGATAATTAAAGTCATGAACACCCATCCGTGTTACTAGTACTCCGTGCATGATCGATGACAAATGATGATAGGAGCTGTATTATGGGCGCGTTTAGATGGCGAAATTTTTTGGTTTTGGCTACTGTAGTACTTTCGTTTGTATTTGACAATTAGTGTCTAATTATGGATTAATTAGGTTCGAAAGTTTCGTCTCGCGATTTCTCACCCAACTATGCAATTAGTTTTTTTTTCGTCTATATTTAGTACTACATGCATGTGCCGCAAGATTCGATGTGACACTTTGTGGTAAAAATTTTTGGAATCTAAACAGGGCCTATATTGTATGGGCGGTGAAGTGACAACCAATCGTCTATTTCGTAGCAGTGCTGGCTGCGGGCCATCCATCCTGTCTTCCTAGGCCAACGACCGCTCGACTCACGGAGTCAGTCACGGTTCTCCCCCTCCTAACTAATTTATGCGTTTAGTTTACTTTTTTCTAACTTTTATTAGTTCATCATCTTGTATGTTTCTACATGTATAAGTCTAGTTTTAAATACAAACTTTTCTGGGCTAAAGAAATCTTAGCATGTGTTTGGTTTACGACCAATTAGGTTGGGTTAGGTCCAACTCAGTTTTTTTGGGTTGGGTTCAACCCATCTCATGTTTGGTTAGTGGGATGAGGTTGTCCTAGTTTTCTGTTTGGTTTGAAGATAAACTAATGTGGGTTGAGGATCCTGACAAATGGACCCCATGCGTCATCCTCTTTCTCTTCCCTTTCCCTGCCTTCCTTCTCCCCTGCGCGTTGTGCGCAAGCTCGGTCCCCTGCGCGGCTCCGCCGTCGTGGCCCCGTGGCCACCGGTCACCTGCGTGGTGCGGTCGCCGTCGTCCCCCGAGGCCGCAGCCCCTGCTCCTCCACGCCCTGCGAGGCTCGGTCCCCTACGTGGCGCGGTCGCTGTCAGCTCGATGCAGGGCGGCTCGGTCGCCGCCGCCCCGGCTCCCCGACGCTCGCGCGGCCGGTTGGCGCTTCTCCTCCATGCTTGGCTGCTGGTGCCGGGCGCCGCCGTCCTCTGTTGATGCTGCTTCCCCGCTGTAGTGCACGGCCGTCCGCTACCTCGACGGACTCGAGGGAGAAGCGAGCGCTCGATGTGAGTCGGACCCTGTCCTCTCGATTTTGCGGTGCCAGGGCAATCCGCATCTACGGGGAATATGCCCTCCTAGGTTCGACCCAGGTCACATGACCTCCCATCCAAACACCTAGAAAACTGGGTCCAACCCACTCCGACACAGTTGGTCACTCCATCCAAACACACGCTTAGTAAATTGTGTTATGTTAGAATAGGTGGTGTCATAAATTGTGTTAATTTTTTTTTACAAATTGCTAATAACAGCGTATATTTTATATCTCCAAGAAGCATAGGTGTTGTATGTTGCTTCACATGAATGGCGAGAAAAATACAGTACAGTAGTAGCGTACGCGATTTACTGCAACACAATTCAACGATTGGTGTCTCGTGCCTCCATGTGTGCAAGCGACTTTAGCGTGAATGTACGTTGGGTTCATGGTGATGTGACACTACAATATCGTCGATATTTCCATGTAAATGCCAGATAGTAGAATTTATATATACTACCTCCGTCGTAGGAAGAAAGCAACGGTAGGAATGGTCAAAATCAAACTATTTAATCTTAATCAATATTTATACCCCTAATAACTATATTTAACATAAAATATATGAACATAATTTCCCAATTAGTATTTATTGGGTACTACAATTATCAATATTTTTTATTGATTTGATTAATAAAAATACAATTTTTCTTGGGATATAGATAGGTTCTAGTGATCAGTGCTACCGGCTGGCATCAATGAGGCCAGGGAGACGGATGCCACTAGCTCCGGACCCAACATCAAAGACTTGACCAGCTCCTGCCGTAGTGGCCGGTAACCATTAGCACGTCAATGATCCCCAACATACAGACACTGGTTTGAATGGTGCCAAAAGCCATTATTCATCATACAGTAAGATGGGTGGTTGTCCGCTGGGAAAGCAGTGATGTGCTGTAATGTATATGGGTGCATGTCAGCTGGGCATGCAGTGAGGTGCAGTAATGTACTCCCTTCCTCCTAAACAAGCGTAGTTCTCGTTTGTTGAGCAGTCAAACACTTTTAACTTTAATAAAATATATATACAACAAAATATTAATATAGTAAATAATTAGTATCATTAGATGAATCGTTGAATCCATTATTATTAAAAAAATTTTAAAAATACATATATTTCAAATATTTTTTACAAACCTAATCAAGCATATTGCTATCATATGGACACGAAGGGAGTACACAACTGCCCCAGTACTGCGCCGAGAACGACCATACATGGCCGGCGTATAGTTATTAGCTAGTACTGCTGGACCCCACAGACTTCACATACTCGCTGCTTTGTTGTTTGGTCTTGTTATCAAGCATTATTTATGCAGTTGTTCTGCTTTACAATAAAAATACATTTTTTACAGTTATAGTATCAATATAGATATGTGATGAGAGTCTAACATAGAGACATGTCAAGCCCCGCTAGAGAGATGAAGTTGACCATCAGATCCCATGGATCGCTCAGGCCTGCACCCATCAGGTATGCTCGAGCCTGAGTGCCCCCGCTGCCACCACTCAAGGCTGGGGGGCTTGGCCATGGCCCCAGGCCAACGAGAGTTGGTGGCCCGAGCCTGACCTCCGCCTAACTCCCGCCTGAGCCAATGCCCGGGTGGCAACCAGCATTTCGAGCCATCTGCTAATTTCTACTAAAAATATTATATATATGTTGGTGCTCTATTATATATATATGTTGGTGCTCTATTTATGTGTTTTATATCTTACTGATTTAAAATAAATTATTATGAACTTTTAGAGATCAAACTAGATTTTTTAATTTTTAGGAAACATAAGACCAAATGTGTATGCTTTTGACACTTCAAGAGTATCATTTGCCTGGTTTCATAGTTTAAAGTTGTAGAATGTACTTTTCCCTTAATTTTTTGAACCAAATATTTTACCCTTATCGATTTATGCTTGTTAGGTTTGTGGAATTAGAATAATTAATTAATACTGTTGCGTGTATAGTAAGTTTATCAACGCGAGTAATCGGAGCGATCGCTGTGAACAGTGAAGGAACAGCAATGGAAATGCTCGGGACACATGAATTCCACGCACATTTAATCGGAGCGGTTAGGGCGCCCGAAGTCCATGTGAATATTGTCTATTTATATACGAGGCTCGATCTGCTTGCTGATATCACAAGCAGGCTGCAGCTAACTAGCATTATTCGATCGGTACGGTTAGCAAAAATCTATTGAGAGCATGTGGAGGCTCAAGGTGGCGGAGGGCGGCGGCCCATGCCTACGGTCGACCAACGGCTTCCTTGGGCGAGCCGTGTGGGAATTCGACCCAGACCTTGGCACGTTGGACGAGCATTCCGAGGTGGAGAAGATGCGCCGGGAGTTCACTGAGAACCGCTTCAAGCGGAGGGAGTCTTCCGATCTCCTCATGCGCATGCAGGTAATAAATCCACTTGCACATGCTAGATTTATAATCATAATAATACCATGGCAGTGGCATATCTAGCTCACACTCTAGTTTTATCTTTTCCTCCCTCCGTCCCTAAATATTAGTCGCCACGATTTACGTGCCGATAACTTTAACTTGATTTATAGAAAATACGTGCAACATTTCTATCTCCAAATAAATTTATTAAAAAACTAGATTCAAATATCTATCCAATTATACTAATTATGTATCATAAATATTAATATTTTTTAATATATATTTAGTCAAAATTGTTTCTCGGAAAGCGAAAACAACATACATTTAGGGACGGAGGGAGTACTATCTAGCCGCCGCCGCTCTCCGGCTAGCGGTGGTGGCGGCCTGCTACAGCGCTAAAAAAGGCTCCACCGCAGCTGCTTTCTCCTCCCTCTTCCTCTCCTCCCCTCCACCTCGTAACTGAAACTCCATTTTTTTCCGGCGCATGGATTGCCGGCGGCGAGCTAGCTCCTCCGAATCCGAGCTCCCTGGGCCCGGATCAAATAATGACTTCAAAGAGATGGACATGATGAATAAATAAAATAAAGCAACTAAAGCCATACTACAATAGATGCCCCGCATATTAGGGGAATGTTCTCTAGGAGGAGTGATGACGTCCCTCAAGCCTTCAATCCAAACACCACCAAAAGAAGGACCGCTCTAGCCTATCCCATTGCATCCTCCCATCCAAACGCCAACTTATAGTCTAAGCCTACTAGCAAGGAAAAATTATATGTATAGCCTTCTTTTTTCACTTTTGTCCTTGATTATTATGCAAAAGGATTAGTCAAAAAGGTATTCACCATGTTCGCTTGTTGGTTTCAGCCAGCCCAAACCAACCAGCCAACAGTGTTTTCCTCTCACAATAAACCAGCACCAGCCAGCCCAAACCAGCCCAGAAACCAACCAGCGAACAGGCCGATTATGTTTCGAGAAAATAAAAGTCAAGCATCCTTGATTACCTCCTTTATTGCACTTGCACATGGTGCCATGGACAAGGAGACCTTGAATTGGAATGTGATGGAGACGGATTCACTATGCCAGAAATGCACAAAGAAGACATTAGTATTAGAGACGGGCTAATATGTGTCTCTGGTGACTAATTAGACATGAGGCTTAACCGTATACATATCTCTAATATTGGCTCCCACAGGGCCAGGTTTAAGGTCGCCCCTCATCACAGATGGGGCTCAACTGGGGCCGTCTATGATAGGAGGGCACAATAACACAAGTAGAGTTTAACAAGGTCTGTCTCTAATATTACATACATCACATACGGGTCTTAAGTAAGGAATTGTCTGTGATGTTTGGGTCCACATCAAAGACAATTGATGACTATCCCCATCTCTAACATTACTGTTATCACATATGTGCATATGAAAATTGAGTCTCTAATTAGAGACGACCACATTAGAGATGGGTGGTGTCTATCCCAACTATGATAGTTCAAAACACATCGATGCATTTTAAGAGACCCGACTCCGATGTGGCAGCCTTAGGGTGCTAAAGTTCTTTTCAGGTCTGTCATTACGTTGAGCTGCACGTGTGATACCATGCGTTAGCAACGCCGCCTCCCCCTCACCCCCACACCCACACAAGGGAAATTAAGTGGTGGTAGTGTCAATCAAGGATATTATTAATTCATTTGTTGAAGCAAGTGTTTTTTTTTGAGTAATTGTTGAAGCAAGTGTTGACAAACAAGGATGATGAATGCCCTACTAAGGCGAGGAATGCAATGGGTGGAGCGGGCACTAGAGAACACCATATATAGGAGGAGAGGCGATTAACAACTAGGTCAATAGAAGTTGGGTGCAGAAATAAACATGGAATGACATCACAATGACAATGGTTTTTGGTAGCCACTTCAAGCCCAAGTCTCAAATCTAAACATGGGATGGCTTTCGTATGATGTTCTATGTCAAATACATAATGAGATGGTTGATCTTCGTATGCATCAAATGTCGAATCTTACGTTTTTACATAGTCTCATTATTTGTTTCGGTGCTAGTAGATGCCTGTCAACAACATGATGTTTGTAATGATTTCATCAATCTCAAGATCTATCGATTAAATCTCCCATAGATGAAGTTGTAGGGTGTGGTTATTTATTTTACAAGTATCTGATATGCTTCTCACGAGTCATGACAGTGAGTCACATTATGGTGACTTTGTTAGTCTTAAAATCAACTAGTATAATCTCGTATACACGTCCATAGATGTAGTTAGGTAGCTCCAGAAAAAAGGTAAAAATAAGAAGAATAAAAGTGGTTGATTTCTAAGGACATGTTGGGAACCGCTTAAAATCCGTTTCTAGGTGAAACTAATTGAGAATCCCACCTAAACAACTTGATTATTTGTTGATTTGTTTGACCGTTGTGGTTGTAACAATCGACCTTTCAAGCATATCCCGCGTTTCATTCTATTGCGGGAGACGGCGGGAGAGACCTCTATAGTCTACACATTCCTTCCACCATGGGCAGTTTCGTCCGTTGCCTCCTGTATGCTCACCCCTTCTCTCTGCTCCCTAGCTTGCTCCGCCACGCAGAGCCACATCACTTGCTTGTTCGGCCATCCACCTCCTGCTAACATGAAGAAATGAAGAGGAAGGACATTCTCTAGTTTTGAATTTTGCCAGAAACAAAAATAAATACCTAGAGACTTCAAAAAATTCATGTATTTTTTGGTATATGCTATAGATTGAATCAAGAGCGACCTATTTTTGTTTGATCTGGAATCATATGTTTTGTAGCTTTAAAATTGTTTTTCCCTGAAATTGCTATCTTTGAGTTTTTGGCCAAACTGATTAGTTCCAAAACCATTGCCAAGAAAATATGAGAAAAATCATCTAAATTCATGGTTTGAAAAATAATATTTTATCATGCAAACTCACAATATGTAAGCTATGGTGAAAATCAAAGTTCCTTCAGAAAGCATATGTGAAAATTATATATTTGAAGTAAGTTTCCAAATTATACAAAGCAAGCTCAAATCTTTAGAGGTGCTCATGATACATGTCAACAAACTAAAAAACTAATATCATAATTGATTTTAGCCCGTACTCAATCAGCAAATGAGCTATCACCAGCCTCAGGAGCGTTGATGCCAATTTTACACTCAGAAACAAAGAATAAGGATTGCCAAACACATAGATTCTTCAAACCATAGCATGCTAGTAGAAACATATAACTAGATCAAAATCAATTCTCACACAAAGGGTTCCAAACAGAACATAATATATTATTGTTTTCTAGAAAATGCAGTACATATTTTTATTGAAGGTAGGTGTTGAAAAGTGGGTGAGCTGTTACTACGCCGCATTAGAATTTGGCTTACTTGGATGGCCCAACATTAAATGAGGTTAAAAGGTCCATGGGCTCAGGCTCTTAGCAGCTTGGTTGATGGGCCGGCAGTTGAAGGCTTTGGGCTGGTGGTAAGCCTGGCGGCGGCGAAGGATGTCCGGCGGGGGAGGTGAGGCAATTGCTCTGGGCAGCGAGCCTTGCGGCGGCCGCAGGAGGCTAAGGGCCTGATTGGTTTGCGGCCAAAATTTGCTATGTCAAGGATTTGGCAAGCCAAAGTTAGGTAAAAATTTTGCTATGGATTTGGCAAGCCAAATGTAAGAGGTTGACAAGTTTTGGTAGCAAATTAAAATCATGGATTGCCGATTCTTCGGTTTGGCAAATTTTGGAAGCCAACCAATCAGGCCCTAAACCGCGGGAAGCGAGGACCTGCCTGTGCAGAGAGCGGTCGGAACTCGGAAGAGAAGCCGTTTCAATGCAGCAATGGAGGTTTCCACTCCCTTTCGTGGTTTCCTCTCTAGCAAGAGCCGGGGTGCTCCATGGGCTATGGCGGCCCCCGGCCATGCGGTTGCTTTGTTCTTGTTGGTTTCAACTTATGGATGGTCAATCAATCATTTTCAAGATTAAAACACTATTAGGCTGATGGTTTCTGCGGCTGATAAGTCAGCTGAAGCTGATTTGTGGTGAGAGAAAAACATTGTTCCATGATTGATAAGCTGGGCGTTCAAGCGAACAGGGCATTAATACTGTTTCCTTTTAAATATTCTGGGTACGTAACCTAAGTATGTCAAAAAAATAATTAATTAACAGCTATAAGCTATCAGAATCTCTCTCATAAATTCTTTAATTTGTTGCAGTGCGCAAAGGAAAACGGTCCTCAACGAGATCTTCCACGCATCAACCTTCAGGAGGATGAACAGGTCACTGAAGAAATTGTACTCAACTCGTTAAGGCGAGCTTTGGATAAGTTCTCTTCTCTGCAAGCCAGTGATGGGCACTGGCCCGGTGATTTTAGTGGGGTCATGTTCATCATGCCTGGCTTGGTGCGCCTTTGTTTCTGCTTCACAACATCATGCACATTTTTCTCTTTACTTGCTTTTCTAGCTTAATGGACTAACATTACACCGTCATTACATTTGTAATGATAAGAATAAAACATTCTTTCACCTTCACTTGCAGATATTCGCATTGTATGTCACCAAATCACTCAATGTTGTGATATCACCCGAACATCGGCGTGAGATATGCCGCTACATATACAACCATCAGGCATGATTCTCTTGGACTCTCTCCGATGCCTTTTTTGGATGGCCGGGATAATGGCCTGCCAATGTCATAGGACTCAGCATTTCTCTCCTATTATTGCTAGATTGTTAGAATCATGAAAGAATTTCTTTTTCTGCAGATACTTATGAATAACTTTGTATTACTTCAAACAAGTGTGCCTTACATTATATACACATTTTTAAGGCCATACCTAATTTAATATTATTTTCACAATTTAATAGTATTTTTGTTTTTCACATGAATATTATGTAGAACGAAGATGGTGGATGGGGCACTCTTATATTAGGCTCAAGCAGCATGTTTGGCACATGTTCAAATTACATCACCCTAAGGCTTCTCGGCGAGGAGCTAAATGGCAAGAACAATGCATTGGCTAAAGGGCGTGCATGGATCCTAACCCATGGTGGTGCAACCTTGGTGCCCCAGTGGGGAAAAATATGGCTTTCGGTATGCTTCATGGTGCATATATGTCTAATAACTTGTATTTCATATTAGGACTCACTTTTTTCAGGGAAAATAAATACTGCGGTCTCATTTGTAATCTCTAATTCCATTGCATTGTGTAACTGATAATAACTTAATTTTCTTTGGAATCAAATGGAGATACTTGGAGTGTACGATTGGTCAGGAAATAATCCAATTTTCCCTGAACTATGGCTATCTCCCCAATTTCTTCCATTTCATCCAGGTATTTCTTTAGCTAAATGGTATCTTTCAAACCTCCAGGGTATTATACACTGGAAGCATGGATTTGCTGAATTTGAACATTGTCTTTTGCAGGGAAATTCTGGTGCTTAACCCGTATGGTTTATCTCCCAATGGCTTACCTTTATGGTAAGAAATTCGTGGGACCAATTACATCAACTATACTGGCCATCAGAGAGGAGATTTATGACTCTTCATATGAAAAGATTGACTGGAGTGAGGCTTGTAGAGCCTGTGCAAAGGTTTACCAGATTCCTTGCTGTTTCTATATTTTTTATTTGCCTCAGTGAAGTGCTTTTGATGGATTTCCGGAAAAGCAGTTCTGAGTTCAGTTTGTTTTTGTGTTTGTCATGCAAACCATCATGAAGTGAGCGAAACATATATTTCTCTACTTATAACAATGCAGGAAGGAGATCTTGTTTAACTAAGATGAAGTTTTTGACTTGTTGAAATTTCTAGTCCTCCCTTTTTTGTTTTTCAATTTCAGGAGGACCTGCTCTGTCCACGGACACCATTTGCAAGATCTTTGTTTGGACTTCACTTTACAAGTATGTGGAACCGAGATTGAGCTGTTGGCCAATGAATAAACTGAGGGAGAAAGCTCTGAGGAATCTCATGGAGCATATCCATTATGAAGATGTGAACACGCAGTATGTCTGCATATGTGCTGTAAACAAGGTAATATCGCTGAGGCCTCACTATCTGCACTCGAACTAAATGCATAGGCATTTGTCCTGGCTTGGTCTTGTTTCTATTATTGTGTTCTATGATATAGCATATGCACTATTGTCATGTTTGTTTGTCTTCAATTATCATGTCTTTGTGGACTGACTCTTGGTGTTTGTCAATATTAATTAATTCGATGTTTAGACTCTGAACATGGTCTGCTGCTGGGTAGAAGATCCAAATTCAGACGCATTCAGGTGTCATCTTGCAAGGATACCTGATTTCTTGTGGCTCTCAGAAGATGGCATGAAAGCACAGGTACCACTTATCCTGTTCTCATGCACAATTTGTAGTTCCTAGCATGTATGTTGTGCTGCCATTATTAGTAGGTGCACTACTGCTAATCCGTTGAGCTACAATCATACATTCAACTAGGAAGGTTTCCTTTGGCTAATTGTGTTGACATCACCCCTGAAGTTTACCAAGCAGAAAACTAATGGAAAATTTGCATTCAAGTTCCATTGATGTTCATTGCACATCATGAACTAATTTACCAAGCAGAAAACTAATGACAAAGATAGATGGTCCCCATCATGAACTCTCTGTTACAAGATACACATTGTGTTGTACTAATTTATTAAAATTGATGTACATGTGTGTGTTGGTAGGTATATGATGGTTGTCAGAGCTGGGAGACAGCTTTTATAATTCAAGCATTTTGCGCTACAGATCTTGTCAATGAGTATGGTCCAACTATTCAGAGAGCCCATGAGTTCATAAAACATTCACAGGTTTCTTATTTTATCCTCAAATACTCTAAATATATAAAAAATAACCATTTCAGACAGTAATCTAAAGTTACTTGACATGCGTGTTTGTATTAAGGTTCTCAGGAATCATCCTGGTGACCAAAGTTACTGGCATCGTCATACATCAAAGGGTTCATGGACTCTTTCATCTGCAGACAATGGATGGGCTGTCTCTGACACTACAGGAGAAGCACTGAAGGTAGACAAGTAAAATTTGTTTTCATATAAATTACTAGGATCACAAAGCTAAACCTTACATAATAATAATCGGGATCAGCTTGATCTATTGTTGAGTCCCATGGTTTTAATTATCTGTTCCATAAGAACTTACTCAATTTCATTTCCAGGCTGTACTGCTGTTATCAAAAATCTCAAACAACCTTGTCGGGTATCCAATAGAAAGAGGAAGGTTGTATGATGCTGTTGATTGCCTTCTATCTTTTATGGTATGAATTCACTAGCAGTCTTGTACTCATGTGTTCCATGAAAAATCAAATATCACAATTATATACCCCATTGATACCAAATAATATGTTACACAAAACATACCGAGGTAATAGGACAAAGTGTACATGGATAACTCTCAAATATGGCTGTGATTCTGAAATGTTTGCAAACAGTTTCCATTATTCTTCATCACCTTCAGATAGTCATAGTGTCAAATAATAACATTTCAACCAATTGTTACTATGTCAGCTACATCCTTTAAAATCTTTACCTGTGTTGCCATTGTTCTAAGCTGCAAGGATTATTTGTTAATTGTTAATCATTTTACATTTTAGAATACAGATGGTACCTTTTCAACATATGAATGCAAAAGAACTTCTTCTTGGATAGAGGTAAGTATCTACAGGCCATTCTCATATGTTTTACTTTGTTCCTTTAGCAATATGGTCTTGTGCTTTGTATTCTGTAATCTTAACTATTTGTTTCAATAGAATCTCACTGGTTACAGTTCCATTGCATTGACATACAATTTTTCTATTAATTGCCTAGATCCTCAATCCTTGTGAGAGTTTTCCAAACATGGTTGTTGATCATCCGTAAGTGATGCAAATGACATAGCATTTAGCAAAAATACTACTAAATGAATTTTCTTTTCAATTGAACAAATTAATTTATGTTGTAACATGAATTGGCAGTTATCCAGAATGCACTTCATCAGTGCTTCAAGCGCTGGTACTGTTCAAAGAATTATACCCTTCCTACCGTACCAAAGATATAAAAAAATGTATCAGAAGCGCGACAACATTTATTGAGAGCAGACAACAAGAAGATGGTTCTTGGTTTGTTATAATTCAATATTTACATACTTACGCTACAGATTTATTCTTCAACTGTTGATAACAAAATTACTTTGCTTTTGCAGGTTAGGAACTTGGGGTGTATGTTTCACCTATGCGGCCTTCTTTTCGATTAAAGGATTGGTTACTGCTGGAAGAACGTACGAGAATAGCCCTTCTATCAGGAAAGCATGTCAGTTTCTATTGTCGAAGCAGCTCAATACTGGTGGATGGGGAGAAAGCCATGTATCTAATGAAACTCAGGTAATCAATTTTTTCTTGTAATTGTTAGGATGCTTCTATTTCTTATTACCTATTTGGTGAAATGAATAGGACAAACAATTTGTTTGTTGGTAATTATGCTAACAAATTGACACATAGTTAGCCTGGATTTTAATCACAACTGGATTTGGTGTATATTTTGGACCTTTCTTCTGCAAGCATGCTCTCATTAAGTTTTATTGACAACAAAATTTGCTCAAGTAGCAATTTTATTATTGCAAAGCCATAACTTATTTTTTCTGGAATATCTAATATATTTGCATATATCATCTGACAACTTATCTTTATAACACTAAGCAGGTTTATGTAAATTTCAAAGGTGACCGTGCTCATGCAGTGAATACTGCTTGGGCAATGCTGGCTTTAATTTATGCTGGACAGGTATGGTATGCAGGCTCTTTATTTTAATTTTTACAAGAGTATGCCATTTTAGTTTGATTTCGACAACAGTATGCAATTTATCGAAAGGTAATTACACCTTCATTTGAATACCAGATTGAGCGTGATCCAGCACCACTACATCATGCTGCGAAAGAGCTGATCAATATGCAGATGGAAACAGGAGAATTTCCTCAACAAGTAGGTTTCCAAATTTCTAGTGTTGAAGTAGTCTTTTTATCTACAACAAGAAGTAAATTTGTTGTGTTTCTTTTACAACAACAACAACAACAACAACAACAACATAGCCTTTCAGTCCCAAGCAAGTTGGGGTAGGCTAGAGTTAAAACCAACCAAGAGCCCCAAGTCACGGTTCAGGCACTTCAATAGCCGCTTTCCAAGTACTCATATTCAAACATAGATCTCTAGGTATATTCCAAGCTTTTAAATCTCTTTTTATTGCCTCTCCCATGTCAATTTCGGTCTTCCTCTACCTCTCCTCATATTATTAGCTTGGCTTAGGACTCCACAATGCACTGGTGCCTCTAGAGGTCTCCTTTGGACATGGCCAAACCACCTCAACCGATGTTGGACAAGCTTTTCTTCAATTGGTGCTACCTCTAGGCGATCACGTATATCATCGTTCCGAACTCGGTCCATTCTTGTGTGACCGCAAATCCATCGCAACATATGCATTTCTGCAACACTCAATTGTTGAACATGTCGAATCTTTGTAGGCTAATATTCTGCTCCATACAACATAGCCGGTCTAATCGCCGTTCTATAGAGCTTGCCTTTTAGTTTTTGTGGTACCCTCTTATCACAGAGAATGTCAGAAGCTTGTCGCCACTTGATCCACCCTTCTTTGATTCTATGGCTAACGTCCACATCAATATCTCCATCCCTCTATAGCATCAATCTCAGATACCAAAAGGTATCCTTCTTAGGCACTACTTGACCTTCCAAACTCACATCTCCCTCCTTCTGTACAACTCCGCCAAAGTCGCATCTCATGTATTCGGTTTTAGTTCTGCTCAATCTACAACCTTTAGACTCAAGGGTCTGCCGTCATAACTTTAGTTTCCTATTTACTCCCGCCAGGCTTTCGTCCACTACCACTACATCATCAACGAACAACATACACCAAGGGATATCCCCTTGTATGTTCCTGGTAACCTCATCCATTACCAAGGCAAAGAGATACGGGCTTAAGGCTGACCCTTGATGAAGTCCAATTTTAATCGGGAAGTAATCTGTGTTACCATCGTTTGTTCGAACACTAGTCACAACATTGTTGTACATGTCCTTGATGAGGGTCACGTACTTTGATGGGACTTTATATTTGTCCAAAGACCACCACATAATATTTCTTGGTATCTTGTCATAAGCCTTCTCCAAGTCAATGAAAACCAAGTGGAGGTCCTTCTTCTGCTCTCTAAACTGCTCCATAACCTGTCTTATTAAGAAGATTGCTTCTGTGGTTGACCTTCCGGGCATAAAACCAAATTTGTTTGTTGATATCTGCATCGTTCCTCGCAGGCGCTGCTCGATGACTCTCTCCCATAACTTCATAGTGTGGCTCATCAACTTAATTCCTCGATAATTAGTACAACTTTGGATATCTCCATTGTTCTTGTAGATTGGTACCAATATGCTTCTTCTCCACTCCTCAGGCATCTTGTTCGATCGAAAGATATTGTTGAACATCTTGGTTAGCCATACTATAGCTATATCCCTGAGACATCTCCACATCTTGATTGGGATACCATCAGGGCCCATCGCTTTGCCCCCTTTCATCCTTTTCAAGGCTTCTCTGACCTCCGATTCTTGAATCCTCCACACAAAGCACTTGTTAGAGCCATCAAACGAGTCATCTAGCTGAACGGTGGTGTTCTCGTTCTCACTATTGAACAATTTATCAAAATACTCTTGCCATCTATGTCTGATCTCATCCTCCTTCACCAAGAGTTGCTCCCTCTCATCCTTTATGCACTTGACTTGGTTGAAGTCCCTTATCTTCCTATCGCGAGCCCTAGCCATCCTATAAATGTCCTTTTCTCCTTCCTTCGTACTCAAACATCGGTAAAGGTCCTCATAGGCCCGCCCCTTTGCCTCACTCACCGCTTGTTTTGCAGTCTTCTTTGCCACCTTGTACTTCTCTATGTTGTTTGCACACCTGTCATGATACAAGCGCTTATAGCACTCCTTCTTTTCCTTAATAGCCTTTTGCACATCTTCATTCCACCACCAAATGTCTTTCGAGTCACATCCGCTCCCTTTGGTCACTCCAAGCACCTCTGAAGCAACCTTCCGAACGCATGTAGCCATCTTCTCCCACATGCTATTTGCATCGCCTTCATCATTCCAAGGGCCCTCTTCAATGACCTTTTCCTTAAAGACCTTTGATGCCTCCCCTTAAAATTTCCACCACTTCGTTCTAGCAACCCTAGCTTGTTTGTTCCCACGAGCTTGCACCAGAAAGCGAAAGTCATCCACCACCAGCTTGTGTTGAGCGACCACACATTCTCCAGGGATCACCTTACAGTCCACGCATGTTCGTTCATCCCTCCTTCTTGTAAGGACAAAGTCGATTTGACTAGAGTACTGGCCGCTACTAAAGGTCACTAAATGGAACTGTCTCTTATGGAAGAAAGTGTTAGCTATCATCAGATCAAAAGCTATGGCGAAGTCTAAGACTTCCTCTCCCTCCTGGTTCCTACTACCATATCCGAAACCCCCATGAACCGCCTTGAAATGATACCTAGTTTTGATGACCAAGGAAAACATATCATCTTGCATATTAATTAATGTAAAGTTCACAAAATTACTCTATGTTGAGTGGTTGAGGAAATTATTGCAAAACCTTTTGAAAAGAAGTTTCACAATGACATTAGAATAACAAAACTGCAGTTTTTCTTTCTTAAAAATAAATTCATAAAGCCCAATTCTGTTGCCACTTCAGGTCTACTACATTTATTGTTGTTTCACATCATAGAACTTGTTTATCGTCTTAAAAGTGTAGTTTGCAACAGAAAACAAGAAGAAACTTTAGTTTTGACATGTTGATTTTAAAAGTGTAGTTTCTCCATATAGAAGGCCCATAGAAATGCAGATTTGCAAATTGGTTCTTGTAGTGTAGTTTGATATGTTCCTTTTTGCAATCTTAGTGCAGCTTATAAAATTTACTCTGAACTATTGAAGGAATGAATTGAAACAACCATTTTTTATTGCATACAAATAGAAATACGACTACTAGCATATGTTAGACCTCCATACAATTTAGTTCACATGCTAAAACACCATGGCTATACATTGACATAAATCATGCTACTAGTTATCATGCACTATTTAATATGAGCTGCCTTTTGCATATGACTATATGAGTGAGGTGACTTAACCTTACGAAACATGGAAACACGGTGCCAAGAGATTATTGTGGGTAACTCTAGTGAAACTCGTGAATTAACACTTTTTTATGAGATGGTGGTCCTTGTAAGAATATAGTAGCTACTTAGCCAATGCATAATTGCACAGGCATTCTTGTACGGCTGTGAATGTTAGGAACAATGATTGCTTCGGTTTGTTGGTGTTTGATTAGCCTAGGCCTATACGAATTTCTGATGTGGTTTGCATTTTTTACAACAGGAACATGTTGGATGCTTCAACAGGTCCCTTTTTTTCAATTACCCAAACTATCGCAACCTGTTCCCTATTTGGGCCCTTGGTGAGTATCGCCGTCGCCTTTTGGCAAAGAAGAGAGATGGATCAATGTGAGGATTGGGAGGTGACAGAATGGTGTATGGTACGAATACCATATGTCTCCACTCGTGTATGATGTGTATATTGTGATGGAATACGGCGTACGCCTTGTGGCAAAGATAGTAAAAATGGGATTTTATTTCGTGTATATTGTGATATTACATCATTGCATATAAGCTAGCGAAAGCTACTAGCTGTTTGTAAAGCATGTGCAGTTTGGTGAAGCTGTTGGATTTTATTGGGCTTGGTCTAATTATATTCAATTAAAATCAAATAAATCCTAAGATCAAGATTAAATGCTAGGTGCAATATGTTGGATTTAAATGGGTTTGTCCATTTTTTATTCAGCAATTAAATCAAAGGATATTCCAAGGTCTAAGTTAATGCTAGGTGTAATTTGTTGAGTCCTTTATGTGGTGTAACTTGCTGTTTGATGAGGTTAAGTGTATGATGACCATTATGTGCTGGTGGATCTTTATTAGTGGTTCATGATGTCTTAGTGGTTTCTGTTACTAGTAACAGACAATTCGTTTGTCAGTTTCATAAGTTACTGGTAATGGACAATGACATGATGGCCACTATCTCTTCATGCGCCTTGCTTTTCATCTTCGTCTTCCTTTGTTGCTACATAAAAAAGGGCACTCTTTCTCTTGTTCTCAAGAGAGAAGAGATAACCATGCATCACCACTTCGCTGCTATGTTGCTCCCTACCATCCCCGTGCCGGTTCCTACGCGCACGGGAATAGGGAGGGCAGGCCTCTTAAACCGGTGTTGTTCATGAGTTCATCTGCTTGGGTGAAGACCGACAATCAGGTTTTTGGAGAGCGTCTTCCGTGTGACTTCTCGTTCTTCGTTCATCTTTGTACTACTTCCGACGGAGGTGGTGATCGGCACTGCAACCTTACTACATGGCATCGAGCGGGACAACTACATCGAGAATCGCTATGTCGACTAGCGTCGGCACTAGTGCCATTGGGTATGCTACTGTTGCAACCCGTGTTGTATTTTCTATAATTGAAATCATGATCAATATCATGTTCGTTAATTCGGTTGTGCTTAGATGGCACGCGCACATATCTGATGTCACCAATATGTCATTAATATTTTTCTGGATTAAACTGGAACTGAAATTGCCTAATTTTCTAACACAACAGAGGTCGCATCATACGACGCTTAAGGGCTTGGGCTGGACCAAACCACCACGACATGGTGCTGGGTTGGATCCTTTAGTCACTTGGGCTGATTAACAGCTGCTTGATTGTGGTTGATGGTTAGACTTGTAACAGTCATGAATATGTGCGATTATTACGATTGGTTATGGTTATTGGTAACTGACGAACGTCTTCATAATGTTCAGGTTCATCCTCCACATAGTGAGTAGAGTAGAGTAGAGTAGGGTTGTTTAGCAAACTGCACGATGTATAATACACAATCATTAGAGCATATATAATAAACAATCAGTAGTAGTAGTAGTGAGTAGAGTAGAGTAGTAGTACTAGTACAAGTAGTAGTAGTAGGAGTACTAGAGTAGAGTAGAGTAGTAGGTGTAGTATTAGGAGAGGAGCAGTAGTAGTAGCAGAGTAGTGGTAGTATTGGTACTTACCGGGAACTCACGCCTGAGTTTCAGTTTCGTGCCATACTTGATCTTCTTCTTCTCAGATCTCCGATCATAGCAGTCGGGATCTTGCACGTACTTCTTATAAGCGCTATACAAAAAACCACTAGTGTCAATGATATTTTCAACATGTTAATTGTAAATGAATAAGTTCCATCACTTACTATCTCAAATAGCTTTCAAATTGCTTGTACCCTGCTTTGTTTGTATCCCGCAAAGAGTCAAATATACAGGCCCTTCCATCCTGAGGATAGATTATAAATGCAATCCAGTAGCCCATGATGCACTAGTTGCACCATTCACACAATACAGATTAGAAATGTTCAAATATATGTTTCAAATATCTTTTGGACTTACCCGAACTGGTGGGCGGCCATGACGCACCCATTTCCCCGGACCTTCTTCATGGCCACATACATGTACATTCCCGCACGATACTTTAATTCGATTACTAGATCTTCCCTGTATTTCTTTCTCTCCTCCGGGTTCAAGTTCACCAGCTTTTCATGAGTGTCTGGTATAGCGTAACCCGCGATGGTTCTCTCTGTAATAAGCAACGGAGAGAGATAGATAATATCCTTGCCCAATTCTTTGCTTACATAGGCCTGCATCCTACAAGGAAAAGTCATCATGGCATTATTAGTTTGTTCCTAAAGTACCTACAGTGATGCAGTAGTGTCAAAGTCATAAGTAACTTACAGGGCAAATAAGGTGACTTGGGCGATGTCGAGGTCCTTTCGCCGCAGTAGTCTATGCATGTCGTGGAAATCTACGATGACTTCACCATCCGTGGGCATGTGGAAGTACTCCGTCGGAATGTTGATGACGAAGTTTTCCAGACCCACTTTCGCTGCTTCCATGTACCACAGATGGAACCTCCTTACTTCCCACTTCTCTTCAAGGAGGTCGCCCAAACTTCCCATGCATGTAGTTTTCGGGGCAATCATCCGACCGAGGCCAAAACAACGACAGTGTTTTTGGCCTGCAACACCGGGGCTTGAGATGTTAGCGAGTGGAAAAAGCAGATAGCGTCTTGAAATGAATTATAGATTGACTATGCTTGCAAGTAGCATACCTTTCAAACGTAGTTGAGTATGGGTGCTCGTCGGCTATTTGATAGGCCACCCAACTCGACTTGGTGTGGTTCGGGGGTATGGCCTCCTCTTCATTTGCAGGCTTCCTCGGCGGGGGAGGACATTCGTTTGAGCCCTGCTTCGAACCAATTGTAGGCGGTGATGTCACATCGCCCGATCCTGCCCCTGTGCCTCCCTATGGATTGCTGTTGTTGGGAGGCGGATTGCCTGGAGGACTGCTGCCTGGACCGCCAGTATTGTCGTTGTCATCGCCGCCGTTGTCATCACCGCAGTCGTCGTCGTCGTCGTCACCTGGGTCACCCGGGGGAGACGACGACTGGTGTGAGGGCTGTGACGCCGGCGTCGGCATGTCCAAGACAATGTCGCTCTTGTGCCATAGCACACGCATGCCAAGATGAACCTGTATCCCTCTTCAGTGGGAATGTCTATTTCATCCTCGTCAAATCTTTGTTGGTCCACGTCACGTCGACCAAGGCATAGTCGGGCGGGATCAGCTTGCCGTCATACATGGCGCCGCTTTCGGGCGGTAGTGCCACTCCCGTGGCCACGTCCTTCTTTGTCTGTGCCCTGCCGAAGGGCACCTAGAGCGTGCAGCTCGTTGGTTCAATGATGTCGTCGACCGGGTACCTGGGGAGTTGTCCGGTCCATGGCACCATCTGCCCTTGTATGACAGGTACTTGAAGAAACACGACTGCTTCTTGAAAGGAACAGGTACGACAGGTGGTTCCTCCATCTTATCCCGCTTCCTCTTCCTTGTCTTGGTCCCATCTTCCTCTTTCTTCTTCTTCCCGAACTCAACGTCTATGCCTTTCTTTATGTCAAACACCTTTTGCCCATACCTCATCCTTTTTGGCTCATCAGTTTCAGGCTTGTCCCAGTTGTCGAAGTACTTATTCATAATAGCTGCCCGGTACCTGTGCTTTTTAACGAGGAATAGCCTATGCCTCATGTACACCATCTTCTTGGATGCACTAAGGTAAGTGTAGCAGGTACCATCAATGCAAACTGCGTAACCTGACTTACCTTTGATCTGCCCTAACACTGAAAAAAGACCACGGTAATCGGTGATGGTGACAAAGATGATGGCTTTTAGAGTGAGCTCCATCTTTAGGGATGCATCCATCATCTTGACCCCATCTTCCCATAGTATCTTCATGTCCTCCATGAGTGGCTCTAGGAACACATCTATATCATTGCCTGGTTGCCTAGGTCCAGAAATAATCATGGTTAGTAAAAGATACCTGCACTTCTGACATAGCCAGGGAGGTAGGTTGTAGATGGTGAGGATGACCGGCCGTGCTGTGCGAGCTGCTAAGGTCACTGAATGGATTCATCCCATCGGTACTCAGCACAAACCTGACGTTCCTCGCCTCGTCGCCAAACTTCCGGAACTTGGCATTGAAATGCTTCCGTTGCTTGCCATCTGAAGGGTGCCGCAGCTTGCCATCGTCCTTCGTGCGCTATTAGATGCATGCTAGGACCTAAGATTGGCATCCTCGGGGTTCCCAAATATAGCACGCAGGCGATCGATCATGGGCAGGTACCACATCGATAGGCCTGGACTTTTCCTCTGCGTGTAACCCTCTTCTTTCTCGTCCTCAAGAGGCGGGATCTACTTCTTTGCAGTACTCTTCTTGGTCACCTTCTTCTTCTTCAGCCCTCTCTTGTCGTCCGCATCCACGTGACAACCGACATTCCTCTTGTACTGACCCGCGCCACAGTACGGACAGCTCTACAAGTACTCATACTTGCCCTGATATAGGATACAATGATTGGGACAGGCATGAAACTTTTTAAGCTTCATCGCCACTGGCCGGATAAGCTTCTTCGCTCGGTAGGTATTGGCGGGCACCTTGTTACCCTCTGGGTATGTGTCAGCAGTAACAGGTCGTTGAAGCTAGTGTCGGACCAGCCATGGTGAGCCTTCAGCATCAGCATCTGGAGGTTAAAATGCAGCGCCGTCCACTGCTTTGGACAGTCCTTCTAGAGGGTGTCAATTGCCGCCAGCTTCATCTCTCTGAAATTCTCCAGCCACCTAGGGCTCCCAAACAGAATGTCGTCGTGCTCAAGACAGTTAGCGATTGACTCAAAAAGGTCCACAGTCTCAGGATCCCTCATTGGCTCACCGCCATCACCATCATCGTTGTCAGCCGTGTCTTGGAGCAGATCATCCATCGTGATATAATCACGATCTGCATTGTCACCAGTAGCAGCATTGTCGTGCCCGCCAGCCGCTGCTGATCAGGTTTGTTGTTCGGCATTCACCGCCGTCGTCGTTGGTGTCGACGAGTTTTGTCCTCCAGATGCACCGACACTCGGATCCTCTGCTTCCCCATGAAACTTCCAAATGGTGTAATCCTTAACGAAACCGTACCGGATCAAGTGAGATTTCACCATGTCGTCTCTGTGGGCAAGACGGTTCTTGCAGCTCTTACACGTACAGATGGTGAGTTCCCGCTTCAGACTCAGACGATGCCTTTTGGCAGCGGCAACGAACTTCGTCACATGTTCCAGGAAAGCTGGATCTAGCCTCGATGTCTTGTACATCCATTCCCTGTCCATGACCGCGAACACATTGCACACACAACATACAACGAAAATGACGCATATAAGCACAACAGTACGGAAAAAGACAACCGGGTAGCTCCAGATCTGATGATTTCTCTCTCCTCCAAATAGATCTAGATCTAGATCTTGAGAAAAAGCACCCAAATCATGGAAAAAGAGAGAGGATTGAGGGTATGAGAGCGAGAATCAACCTCTTGTGGTGCCCTCCTTCAACAAATCCAAGGGCAAAACCTCTCCCCCTAGAAAATGACCATTTTTAGGGTTTTGAGGTCAAATCCCTAAAAAATGGACGAGGAGCCGCGGAGAAGAAGGGTGAGTGCGGCTGTATTTGTAGCTCAGACTTAACCGAGGCGGGCACTATAGGGAAACCGCATCGGTTAATCGCCTATTAACCGAGACGGTTGCCCTACTCCAACGGCCTCGGTTAATACTGATTAACGGCAACCGCCTCGGCTAATAGATTAACCGAGGCATTTTCGCTACAGTGCCCGCCTCGGTTAAGGATTAACCGAGGCGGTTGCTGGCCTGGCTGCCCTGTCCCGAATAACCGATGCGGGCAACCAGGCCAACCGCCTCGGAGCCCATTTGGTAAACGTTGTGTAAAAGATTTTGTGCGGTCGTGACTATTTCCTCACTTTAAATGTATCGTGTAGACGTGTACTACGTGCAAGTAAATCTGGGACATAAATTATGTTGTGCTAAATTGAAGGAGGCACATGTGCTGTCGCCGTCATTTTTATTTATTTGTTATTCTCGCCTAAGCTTTTTCTGGCTAGCTGTTACCACATCCATAGGAGTAGACACAGCATTCTTTCTTGATTACTACTCCAGCATTGAGCTTTCCTCGCTGGCCCATTACCAGCAGTAGGGATGAAAACGGATCGGATACGAACGGATATCACTGATATTACATTTGTTTTCATATTTCTGTCCGGATTCGGATTCGAATACGGATAGTGTCAACCATATCGGATAGGATACGATTGGATATCGACATCATAAATATGCGATTTGAGTATTCGGATATGGATACGGTATCGGATGTTGAATATCCGGACTCGGATACGAACAGATCTGAACCCCTTTAAACGGATTCG